CCCTTTTCAGATAGCAACTACTAGCCCCTTTTCAGATAGCAACTACTAGCCCCTTTTCAGATAGCAACTACTAGCCCCTTTTCAGATAGCAACTACTAGTCCCTTTTCAGATAGCAACTACTAGCCCCTTTTCAGATAGCAACTACTAGCCCCTTTTCATCTAGGGATTATTCAGACATTTTCATATCAAATTATATTTGTCAATACAGTTAACCTGATTTCTTATCAAAATCTTCCACCCAAATGTGAACATTATTATCTTTAAAAACAATGTTTTAACGAAAACTTGAAACTTCTGTAAAATACTATGTTTGGTTTCAGTAAACTTTTTTACAGTAACTGAATAAAGCGTGGAGATAATGGAATCACTTTATAAAGATTATGTTTAAATATCAGGATATGATAATAATCATAACTCTGATTGCGTGCACAGTGTGTGTTTATATATATTTGGTATATTTAAGAAAAGTAATGGGGCAGAGTAGATTCATCAGTAACGGGGTTTATGAGATTAAGAAACAAAAGTATAGGAGTAAGAAGACTATATATATATATATATGATAAGAAAAATGGAGGGATATGTAGGAAAAAGAAGAAAGGAGGGCAAGAATAAAGAAGAATGGAGGGAGGTAGTATATAGATGAATGGAGGGAGGGCGAGAATAAAGAAGAATGGAGGGATATGAAGGAAAAAGAAGAATGGAGGAAGATGTAGGATACAGAAGAATAGAGTGAGGTGTAGGATATAAAAAGAATGGCGGGAGGTGTAGGATATAAAAGAATGGAGTGAAGTGTAGGATATAGAAGAATAGAGGAAGATGTAGGATATAGAAGAATGGAGGGAGGTGTAGGATATAGAAGAATGGAGGGAGTTGTAGGATATAGAAGAATGGAGTGAAGTGTAGGATATAGAAGAATAGAGGAAGATGTAGGATATAGAGTGAGGTGTAGGATATAGAATAATGGAGTGATGTGTAGGATATAAAAGAATGGAAGAAGATGTAGGATAAAGAAGAATGGAGGGAGGAGTAAGATATAGAAGAATGGAGTGAGCTGTAGGATATAGAAAAATGGAGGGAGGTGTAGGATATAGAAGAATGGAGGAAGATGTAGGATAAAGAAGAATGGAGGGAGGAGTAAGATATAGAAGAATGGAGTGAAGTGTAGGATATAGATGAATGGAGGGAGGTGTAGGATAATAAGATGGAGGAAGATGTAGGATATAGAACGTTGGAGGAAGATGTAGGATATAGAAGAATGGAGGGAGGTGTAGGATATAGAAGAATGGAGGAAAATGTAGGAAATAGAAGAATAAAGGAATGGAGGGAGGTGTAGAATATAGAAGAATGGAGGAAAATGTAGGATAGAGAAGAATAGAGGGAGGGGTAGAATATAGAAGAATGGAGGGAGGTGTAGGATAAAGAATAAAGGAGGGAGGTGTAGAATAAGAAGAATGGAAGGAGATGTAGGATATAGAAGAATGGAGAGAGGAATAAGATATAAAAGAATAGAGAGAGGGGTAGGATATAGAAGAATGGTGGGAAGGGTTGGATATAGAAGAATGGAGGGAGGAGAAAGATATAGAAGAATAGAGGGAGGGTGTAGGATATAGGTAAATGGAGGGAGGAGTAAGATATAGAAGAATGGAGGGTAGGGTTGGATATAGAAGAATGGAGGGAGGAGTAAGATATAGAAGAATGGAGGGTAGGGGTAGGATATAGAAGAATGGAGGGAGGAGTAAGATATAGAAGAATGGAAGGTAGGATATTATAGATAAACCTAATCCTATAAATGAGAATGATGATGATGACTATTAAGTGAAGATATGAAGGAAATAATGAAAAGAACTGAGATGAGAAAGGTTTAGTTTGTATATTTGATTAAGATTAAGATCTTATTTTTGCAAATGTGCGAATAAAATGGCAAAATCTACAGTAAATTCTAGCTTAGTGTCGACACATCTCATCTAATCCTGGTTTTATTTCAGGGTTTCAAGAGACAGGAGGGAATCCTCAAGAGATTGGTTTGGAAAACCTTAGATGTTTTATGGAGATGTCCCTTGACTCACAAAACAATATTTCTGATTTTATACAAACCTTTGATATTTTAAAATTGGGTTGCAATAGTTTAGGGATTAGAAAATGAGAGATGTGACAAGAACGCTTGAATGCGAATATAAAATTATATGTATCCTAGATAGCCCAACCTTCTTATTTATTTTTGAAACCTACATCTATCTATCTTTCTATCTATCTATTTATAGTTTATTCTATCCGAATTTCTGCAATCCCTTCCTATTTTTAAATCCCCCAAGGGTCAAATATACTTTACTTTCTGGCGCTATAAACCAACCTTTTTACTTTTATTGTTTTTAAATGTATTTTCCTCCGTACAACTATCTCTCTATTTATCTATCTATCTATGTATCTATCTATTTATTTATCTTTCTATCTATTTATCTATCTATCTATCTATCTATCTATCTGTCTGTCTATCTATCCATCTATCTATCTATCTATCTATCTATCTATCTATCTATCTATCTATCTATCTGTCTATCTATCTATCTATATATCCATCTTTCGATCCATATATCTATAAATCTACCTATCTATCTATCTATCTATCTATCTATGTATTTCTATATATATCTATATATCTATCTATCTGTCTATTTATCTTTCTATATATCTATCTATCTATCTATCCATCTATCAACCCTGTGTTTACTTCTATTTATTCTCATCTCTGTTTCCGTCTATAAAGGATGGACCTGAATATTTTTATTGACTAATGTTGTTAAAAACAAAAAGTTTCAAAATGAAAATAAAAATGCTCTGCAGGATAACTGTTTAAAAAAAAATAACACTTTAATTGGTCACATTTCTTTTTCAGGGCCAGTGATTTAAAATCTTATTTTGGCTGGCTTTCCTTTTCCCTTCTTTTATTAGATTGATGATTCTAATAAACCATCGTACAGCAAAATATAGAATGGAAAAAAATTTAAATTATTTACAAAATATGGTAAGCTTTAGGAGAAGCTTTTTGTATTTATCCTTAAGCTTTCAGGTTAGTATTTTTGAAATTTTAGTTTTGTGAAAACTTAAGATTTTCATGCTCAAGCTTTTTTGCTCTTTACAGGAATTTACATCATTCACTTTCCCTGAATTAAAAATAGATATTGACTATTTGTGATTCAAAAATTTTCATTAGCAAATCTATTTATGGTTTAACTCAAATCTCTACATTTTATACCTCAGTTATTTTGATGCAAATAGCTTATTAATAGTTCAGTAGAAATAAAGGGAATAAAAACAGGCAAAATATATATCTTAATAAACTATTATATATGATAAGGTAATAATCTAGTTGTTTAGTCTACATTCATTAAGTTTTACCCTAATTGAGTTTTTCAGGAAAGAAAAAAATTTCGCATACGGCGCGCCCCCTTCTTATCTATCTATACTTTTTAAGCTTTTGTGCCCCCCCCCCCTTTGTAAATTCCTAGCTACGGGCCTGTTTGGGTCAGTCGGGGTGGACGATAATTGAACTATTGAACATCCTGTCACACTGAACCTGACAACCCCTGTATATTTTGTAATTAAACACCCTGTATATATTGTAGAACATAGATAAACGTGGTAATAAACCCACCCACTGACACGTGCACATATGTAATATTGCAGAAACTTCGCAAACATTTTTGCACAATACGAGCTCAGGACTCACACTACTTGTCTCATTTAGGCGGGGTAATTGCTAATTTTGGCAGCATTCAAACATTTTAGCAACAATTCCGCAATCTTGCATTGTTACCCTTGGTTCTCCTGTCCCTTAGTTGATCATATTTCTAGCTGTTATTGCAATGGGTGTACTATTAATATTTTCAAATTTTCGTAGGATAAATCGGTTATTCTGAAAGATATTTCAGTTATTTTTGTAGGATACATTCAGTTATTTTGTAGGATACATTCAGTTTTTTGTAGGATGCATTCAGTTATTCTGTAGGATACATCCAGTTTTTCTGTAGGATACATTCAGTAAACATGTAGGATACTTTCAGTTATTCTGTAGGATACAATCAGTTATTCTGTAGGATAGATTCAGTAAACACGGGGCGGGTATACATGAAGGGGAGGGGTTAACATGAAGGGGCGGGTATACATGAATGGGGCGTAGTTGTGAATAGTTGAGCAGAAGGTTTTATAGAAGGCGCAGGTGTTACGTAAACGGTACAAATTTAAGTTTGTAGCTAACCCAGCTCACACCTTTAGGTTTGCTAGAAGAATTACATTTCGATATTTTTTGTTTTAATTATCAAACAGATAAGAGCTTCACAGGGAACCATTTTGAATTAAATTTTTTTCGTCTGCAAAATAATCAAAACATATTTTGCACATTAAATATAATAATATGATATAATTATATGATTTTTATTAATTTTCAGCAACATGATGTAAATAATGGTCTTTTAGTAAAGTTAAAGCAATGAGACTTGAATCCTGTGGAATTGTTTAAGTAAGAACCAACGATCTAACGATATATACGAACGAATCTAATATAAACATATGATTAAAAGTTTCAACATTTTAGAGAGCCATGATTTTTAAACGATTTTTGTTTTGTTTGGTCAAAATGTGCCTAAAATGACAGAACATCCCTATCATCGTATCAATTTTTTACTTCGATTCGTAAATTGTTTTAAATATTAATAGACCCTCACCTCCCTTCTCCACTTCCACTTCCCCCTTAGTGATTATATCATCTGTATTATTATTATATTGAACCTATGTTTAGTCGAATCAACCCCTGGAAATTGAAAAACAATCTGAATTGTCTGTGAAACTAAAACTGGTTTACGCCTATTGTAAAACTTTACTGAGCACTGGGAAAAAATTTATATTTTTAATTTGTGTCAATATTGAAGGATTTTACGATGCTATAAATGTTGGTTCGCAATTATGATTTTAATGGAGGGAGGGTAGGGGTTTAATGTAACCTAGGCTTTTTTCTTTTATTTTATTTGTAAACATTTTCTCTTTGAATACATTGTAAACCAAAAAACTAAAATTTCTTGGATTTTATAAAAAAATCGTGGATTTTCCAAATTTTCAATAATCGAATTTTGTTAGAGGCAAATTTTGAAAATTCGATCATCCATAAACCTTCCCTGGGGTCACGTGGGGTTCCACAAAAAATTTGGGCCTGATCGGTTCAGCCGTTTTGACGTTTATTTGATACAAACAAACAAAATAACAGACAAACACCCTGACAGACAAGCAAAGTATTTTATGTAAATGTATAATGTATATATATTCCAACAAAAAATGTTACTGTAGCGTGTAGACGTAAAATTTATTAAGTGATTCTTCGATGTACGAGTCACAACGCTCAATATGATTAAGTGATTCTTCGATGTACGAGTCATAACGCTCAATCTGATTAAGAATGAGGAAGATCTTACTTTTACATTTTATTGCTTTTCATTTCAACAATTTGTTCATTAAAAACATAAATGAAAAGTAATTATCTTCAGTTAGAAACGTGAGAATTTCTCATTCATCCTTGATCAGACAAACGTATAATGGGTGGTACCGTTGTAAATCTGACATTTCATTCTGTAAATTGAGGATTACTTAAAACTATGTCTCCAAACAACGAAAAAATCTTGGAAATAAATTAAGTCTTTGCCACAAACTCTAGTTTTCTAATCTCTAGATCTTTGCAACCCAACGTCATAGATCTTAGATATTTCAAAGCGCGATTGCAAACCACGACCGGCGGGATTTCCGACGCTCTAGCTCCCTTGTACGTGAAGCTATTCGACTGGCAATACCATATTTTGAACGGGCGAGGGCCGGCCTTACTGGTCCCCGAATCTCGTCAGGCTATGAATTCTTCTTATTCTTATAAACTTTATTAATCGAAAACATGAGTACTAAAATATAAGAAATAATTGAATCAAAAATACGATAAAATATCGTCATAAATTATACCACGATGTGAATCTGCTAGACGCCGATTCGCGCACTCAAATATAGAAAGCTATGAATTCTGTTTTAGATGAAATAGTCTAAGTTTAAAAAGTCAAAGGTTTACACCATCCGGTTGCAAAGAGATAGGAATTAGAAATCTTGAGTTTATTGCAAAGACTCAATTCCTATTTGAGAATGATCTAAATAAATAAATATACATGAACAATCAACCTTATCATCCTTCCGGTCAAACCGTCCAACTTTCTCCCAGGTTACAACAAGAACTTCAGCAGCTGAGAACCTCACCGAACTAAAGAGCAAGGAAAGGAACTGATTACTCGCCTTAAATTCGAATTTACAATCTCTGTATTTATGCAACCTGATATCTCACACCGGACTAACCAGGGTGAATTGCATTTGGTTTCTATTTCGTCTATATATAATTCTATTTGGTCTATAATTCAACAATCTTTAAACTTAGGGAGTTTATAACATTACTTTTTCGTTTAAAAAGCATATCCCAACAAAAAGTGTAAATAAAGAAGGATACAAAATTATGTTAAACCGGTCAAATTGTGATCGAAAGTTTTAGTTTTCTGGGATAAGAACCGTTAAATCCGCGTAATCTTAGATCTTTGATATTTTAAACTATCAAATAGTAAAACTTTTAAAAAAATTGCGAGGTTACACAATCAGAATAGAGTTGAGATGAGTAATCAGTTTCTTAATTTAAAAAATAAGCATTGAAAACTGGGTAATAATTTTCAGGCAACTTACCTAAATTTAGAATTAATCAATGCATTAGTAATTCTCAAATCCTCCGCTGAACTAGAGACTCGCCAGGATATCTGATATAAATGAAACTTTTCAGTTTTTTATCTCAAAAGTTGTCCTCACTTACATTTTCTGTCATACGTGTAATTCATATCTTCATTTGATACCTGACCTGTGATACTTCTTCTTTTATATCTGACCTTTGATACTTGACTTTTGATACCTGATCTTTAATACCTGACCTTTGCTACCTGAATTTTGATACTTGACTTTTGATACCTGACCTTTGATACCTGACCTTTGAAACCTGACCTTTGATACCTAACCTTTGATACCTAACCTTTGATACCTGAATACTTGACCTTTGATACCTGATCTATGATACCTGACCTTTGATACCTGACCTTTAAAACCTGACCTTTGATACTTACCCTTTGATACCTGAATACCTGACCTTTGATACCTGACCTTTGATACCTGAACTTTGATACCTGACCTTTGATACCTGACCTTTGATACCTGACCTTTGATACCAGACCTTTGATACCTGACCTTTGATACCTGACCTTTGATACCTGGTCTTTGATACCTGACCTTTGATACATGACCTTTGATGCATGACTTTTGATACCTGTCTTGTGATATCTGTCTTATGGTACTTGTCCTTTGATATCTGACTTTTGATACATAACTTTTGATATCTATTCTTTGATAACTGTCCTTTGATACCTGTCCTTTGCTACCTGTCCTTTGATACATGTCCTTTTCTTGCCTGTCAATAATACCTATATCCTTTAATAAATACATGATCTTTGATACATGTCTTTTTAGACTTGTCCTTTAATGCTTGGTCTTTGATAATTGTCCTTTCATATCTGTTTTTTGATATTCATCCTTTGCTATCTGAAAATCTACGTGTCCTGTTCTCCTGATATCTATATCTGAGTAGAAGGGTATATATCTACCTGTCCTGTTCTCCTGATATCTATATCTGAGTAAAAGGGTGATATATCTACCTGTCCTGTTCTCCTGATATCTATATCTGAGTAAAAGGGTGCTATGATAGGATAGTCCATAGGCATCTCAACATTGTAGTAGCTTGGAACCTCGGTTAGAAATGAAACCAAACCATTTTCATTTATCTAATAAAAGCTAAATTATTTTATTATTATATTTATATTAATACATTATTATTATTATTATAAAGCCGGGACAATTAAGGATATGTACATATGTGGATTATTCAGTGAATTTACTTGAATTTACGGATAGTTTTAGGCTCAAGAATCCCTTTGCAACTAATCCCTTTCAAGAAGAAATATGTAGTTAAAAACTAAACAAACAAGACACCAAATATGAAAAGAAAATTTGTTGGTTGAATAATCACAAAATACCAAATATATTTTAAATATGGATTTAGAAACTGTTCACCTAAAGCTCAAAAATGGCGCAATAGGATGAAATATTTTTAATTTCCTGAAACCAAGATAATGCTATAACATGAAGTTTTCTAGGAGCTGGAAACTATTAGATAGATAGATAGATAGATAGATAGATAGATAGATAGATAGATAAATAGATAGAAATAGATAGATAGATAGATAGATAGATAGAAAGATAAATTGTATATGTTCACTTACATAAACTGAATTAAACTCTCTTTGGTAGAAAATGAACGGAGTTGTAAGGATGGCTTCGACACTGAACACAGATAAAAATGCAAGCAATAAACAAATGCATTAAAAAAAAGATTAGTTTTGTATCATTGCATATTTCCTATTCGGAGCTGGACGCAAAAATTTTAATTTCGATAATTTGTCAATAATTTTTTGTTTCTATAAATGTCCATGGAATTCTGAAATTGAATTTTTAATGCTCTAAGAAAGTCACGGTTTTTATGAACGTAATAATTATTTTTAAAGTTAAAGAACAACATCTGAGCTTGGCTGAATATCAAGCAACTTGATGAAATTTTTGAAATTTTCATTTTTTTTATCTGCAATTGAAATGAATTAATTACCTGCAAATAATTTGAAAATTTCGATTAAAAAAATGATAATGAGTCGAAAAAAATGTTTAATAGAAACTTTTTCTCTAATTTGGTCTAACCTGTTTCCGTCTTCATCTTGGTTTTCAAGGAAAGAATCTCCAGTTGGTTTTCCAAATGGATATAATTCATCTACAGATAAACTTACAACCTGAACACAACTAGATAATTCATCTACAGATAAACTTACAACCTAAACACAACTAGATAATTCATCTACAGATAAACTTACAACCTAAACACAACTAGATAATTCATCTACAGATAAACTTACAACCTAAACACAACTCGATAATTCATCTACAGATAAACTTACAACCTAAACACAACTAAAGTGATTCTAAGTAAACCTACATTTTAAAGTGCCATAAACTATTCACATCGGTACCTTCTAAACTTACTGAAGAAACCATATGTTCTCTGGCTGAAAGTGGACATCGAGGCTTTTTAACGACAATTTTATTTCATGGCTTACATTTAAATCAACATCTTATTCTTACATAACATCAACCAAGGATGTAAAGCAAGGAAAGTTATTTCAGAAGTGTACACATCTTTTGTACTGCAGTGTACTGTCTCTGGGCGCTATTGTAAACACAAGACGGATGTCGAAGCCTGACATGGGATCCATCTTTCACATAAAAAAAATCAATGAAATATTCTGGTCATAGGAAAGTATTATGTCAGTTATCAAAATTATCAAAATTTAATGCTTTTAACCTCCTCGGATACTAAACGAACACTGATGCATCTATTCTTGTTTACAAATTCCACCCAGAGAGAACTGGTTTCAATATGTACGCAGAGTATGCGAAAACGCAATTAACTTTCCTTGCATTACATTCTTGACATCAACCATGTTTTCTTTTTACCTGATTCAAAACAGTCAATAATAATATCAGCTTGAACTCCATTGTTTCATTATTTTTCTAATTTCTGAAAATATCGATTTCAATTTACGTTCAAAGTATTCTGGAGAATGGTTCGCCATTTCACCGTATTTTTGTTGTTATTTTTATAATCATCAAAACAATAGAGGGTTTAAATGTTGATACAGGGATTAGCTTTAAGTTTCTATCAATTGGATGATATTTTGACTTTGTGGTAAATGTTCAGTTTATTATTCTCATTCTTCTTTTTAAATACTTTTTCCCCATGATTCTATCAGATAAATATTCTTTAATTGTTTAAAAATTGTTTGATTTCCCCCTCTTTGCAATAAACATAAATACAAACCCTACATCAAATATTCAATATTTATTTATATATATAATCCTTAACATTTGTATATATTTCCTTTCTATCACATCTGGTTGTCGGTGTCATGGTGCACTAGTAATTTGTTTCAATGTCCCTCAAACAATCATCTATATTGTAAACACGTGTAAATCAATCCCGGGAAGGATTTTAACTAGTTCTGCAAACCCTCCCTCCACCCTTTTCACCCTTTCCATTAACCCGCAATTAATCCCCCCATATACATGTTTAATCCTCTAGTAATCCTCTGTTGACCACACACACTCCCTCTATTGTTAAATTCTAAATATATTGTTTTATACAGTTGGTCAAATTAACACTTTTCTAATGTGCAGACATATTTAGCATGTGCTGTTTTATCAAATACAGACAGAGCAGGAGCTCCTGTGCAGGCCAGATTATTTTACTAAACAAAAATGCAACATTCGTTATATTTTGTAATTCTTTACTTGCTCTCTGAAACTGAATAAACCAAGCGTAAAAGAATTGAGCTTTGTCAGAAACTCTGGTTTTCTAATCCCTATATTTTTAAAATCTAAAGTTGTAACCCTTAGATATTTTAAAGAATTCTATTAAATCAAATAAACTAAATTTAGAATATAAAAGGTTTGCCCCTTTATGATATATTGATTAGAAAATTTGAGTTTGTGGTAAAAACTCAATTTCTTTGTAAATATTGTATCATATTTCTAACCGACGTTTCCAAAATAGATCAATGCAATACTAGAACCAATAATTAGATAAATAAATCCACACTAGATTTCTTGGTTTGAGGACAACTGCCAATGTTAGCTTTCGTCAAAGAAACATTGGATTAAAATAAAATTAGAATTGATCGGTGCAATAGCTAACTTCAACTTAGTTTTTAACCCCCTTTTATGTTTCGTGAACACTCCCTTTAAATGCCTTCTAATTCAGCTCTGGCGAGAAGTAGTTGAGCAATGTAAAAGTTAAATAATTTCTCTTAAAATTGAACCAAGGGAAATGGTTCAACTAATAGAACTCCATGAACTAGAATCAACTATATTCTCAAAGTTGATTAAATCTTGTTCCAGTTTTAGGAGAGTTTTTAGGTCACTAAAAGCCTTGCACACTGTTCTTTTGAGACCGACAGACGTTAAAAGTCGTGTCACTCGGATAACAATTTTTTTAGCACGAAACCTACATTAAAAACTTGAAAACTCGAGTCTTTTCTCACAGTCTAACAAGGAAATTGAGTCTTTGCCACAAACTCTGATTTTAAATCCCTATATCTTTGCAACCCAATGTCGTAAACCTTATAAATTTCAGTATATGAATTTGTTTAGATCAAAAATCTAAGTTTGAAATATCAATGGTTTACTTAACTTGCAGGTTGTGAAGATATAGGGATAAGAAAATTTGAGCTTGTGGCAAAGGATCATTTTTTTTGCAAAAACGGTGCTATTTAAATATATTCTATTTCTGTAGATTTCTCCGTAAATCCGATACGACTGATTCATCTTATGATTAAGCCTAGATGAGATACTTGTGTAAATATATAGAGATAAAAACTGGTTTAAATATAGGGTTCATTGCAGTTCAAACTTATTAAGAGACCGCACACAAACTAACAAACAATACGAGAGTAGTTTAATTCTCTATGCAAAAAAAGTATCTTATAACGCATTTTGCAAATTAAATTAAAATCTGAATCTTATATTTTTTAACCCTGATGTCAATAAAATTCATTTAAGGCACCTGCCCATGAAAGTGCAAAGAAATAAACGTTTATCTATCTATCTCAATAAAATGTGGAACTAAAATCTACGTTATTTACTCAATAGAGGTTTGGTCCTTCATCATTATACAATTTTAAAAAACCTGATGTCGTCTTAGACAAGTAATCACTCAGAACCTTTTTAAAAAGATTATCTCGATTTTTGAACGCAATTTGTTATTGTCCATTCTTTTTTCCTAGCGCGCAAAAAATCGAGCTCAATGATCTTATAAAATTAAAGCACAGTGGCTGAGAAAACAAAAAGCGGAATAAGCGATATTTTGCAAAACATTTTTAACATTTTTGTTTGCTCCGGATTTTTGGTAAAAAAAAGCACAAAATGTGACAAAAAAATCTCAAATATTTTTGGAACATTCAAAAACAAAACCACGAAACCTATTTTAAATTTAATGGGATATTATTATTTCTAAAATAATTAAAAGAAATATGACAGACAGAAGAAGAAAAATGTTAATTTTACAAATTTTGATTTTCTATGGGACCGCGCACACTTTTTGTTGAATTCTTGAAAAATTTTCTCTTGAAAACCTCTTCTCCGTTTTTTCTTAGTTTATGTTCAGGTACAAAAGACCCGCTGCAGATCTAAAGAAAATTAAGGAGCCGTGTTAATATACACTGATGGTAAAGACTTTCTGCAGAAATACACTTTTTTTTTGCAGATTTTTTGACAATAAATTATTCAATGTTTCTATAATTGAATATCGAAGCAAACAAAAATTTCAAAAATTTTGTGCAATACATCGCTAATCCTGTTTTGCTTTATTCTCCCCCTGTATAAAATATGAATAAAAAATGAAAAACAAATGAAAATGATAAAAGTATCAGTATAATTACACAGTAAAAGATTTATAAGAAAATGGTGGGTTAAAAAATAATTTTGAATATTTTATTGTATATATTTAAAAAAGCATGATTTGAGAAATATTGTCATTTTTTACAATTTATTGTTTCTTTTTAAGAAACCGTTCCAATTACGTTGAATCAGTTTTATATTTACAAATTAGGGTCAAATATTCATATTAAATATGTTTATATAAGATTGTTTTAGATCAGGTCTGAAGCGTGGTAAATACATTAAGCTCATTGAAATATTAGATGTAGTAACTGTAAGCAGTTTTAAATTCTTTGGTAATATAGTTAATACATTTTAAAAGTCGAACTTTAAGCTTAATAATGTTGGCATCAATTGTAAAAAACAATAGTTACGATATTCAAAAGATTTTTCCAATTTCATTATATTACAATAACAATTTGACCATTTTAAGGGTTTTTAGTTCGAAAAAAGGTAATTTACAAATGTATAAAAGATTTGACAGAAAATAAACTGACAAAATATTTAGAATTTGTTGAATAAAGTGCGAAGGATGAAATAAAGTCCGGTTGAGATGAGGATATCACGAATATCCAGGATATCACGGGACCTAAACAAGGTTAGGAGCAGAATATTCCTTCTCTCAGCAACATCCTCATCTCTCCTCCTAGTATATCCTCTCACCCCATCCTCCTCCTCATCCCTCTCATTCATCATCCTGGTTTCTTCCTCCAACCTATCCGCGATGTTTCGAAGAGTTTCTCCGGTTTTCTGAAACTGCGAGTTTTTCTCTGCAGTTTGAAAAATGCGCAATCTGAATGTTGAAGATTGTTTAGGTGTAGAGGATCTAGGAATCAGATCTGGAAGAGAAGGATTGGATCCTTGATCCAGATTAGGGGAAGCTGGAGATAGCGGGATAAGATCCGGGAGGTTGGATTTTTGTCTTTCTGATTCAGGGTTTAAGTTGGTATCATCTGAAACTGGGTATAATCTCGATATTCTTGAACCCTTCCGTGTTTCCAGGAGCTGTTGTTGTAGGATTCTTGAAGGCATCTTTTGTTTGCTCCTCCGGCGTTTTCTGTCAGAAGCTTCAGATGTTTTTAGCTGTTGGTTTCTCCCGGAAATATTGTTTGAAACCTGTTGAACCCTTCCTTGAAGTTGGGTTGTTGGATCATTGATCGGAGACGAATCAAGATACTCAAGATCAGAAATAATATTTGAATCTGTTGTGGTGAGTGGACTAGTTATAGCAACCCATGGATGCCTGGCAGAACAATCTGAACTTATTAGATCCCGTTGGTTTACATTTAGACTTCGTTTACTTTGGAATTTTCTGGACATTTTCGTTTTTCTCTCTGAGGACGGATTCAGGACCATATCTTTCACATTTTCCACTTTATTCTTTGATTTACAATAACCTCGACGGTTTATACTTCCAGGCGTATAGTTGGTCGAGGACTGATGATTGGTCAAGTTCTGCTGATTGGCTGAGTATTGCTGATTGGCTGAGTACTCTCGATTGGTCGATAGATGCTGATTGGTCGATAGATGCTGATTGGCCACGAACTGCTTATTGGTCCAGTGATGCTGATTGGTCGAGTACTGCTGATTGGTCGAACACTGCTGATTGGCTGAGTATTGCTGATTGGCTGAGTACTCTCGATTGGTCGATAGATGCTGATTGGTCGATAGATGCTGATTGGCCACGAACTGCTTATTGGTCCAGTGATGCTGATTGGTCGAGTACTGCTGATTGGTCGAACACTGCTGATTGGAGCTCTGCTGATCCGTCATGTGCTGCTGATTTGTCGGATTCTCCTGATTGCTCGAGTGCTGCTGATTGGTCGAATGCTGCTGATTAGCAAAACAGTCCTGATTGGTCGAGTACAGCTGATTGTTGGTCAACTGCTCTTTATTTGTATTTTGCTGGTTGTTTGTGCAGGTCTGATTATTTAAAAAAGACAGATCGTTCATTCGCCCCTGATCTTTGAGACGCTGCTGATTGTCATGAAACTGTTGATCAATCTGTAGGCTACGTCTGATTATTTGTTTAAGTAAAGATCTGATAAGTTGAAGTTCAGGATTTTCTTCAGTATTCCATGGTACAGCCATCTAAAACACGAAGTAGG